TCAATGCTTATGAAAAACAGCAATATAGAAAAGATGATTAGAACAGGAAAACAGAGAAATAAATACTTTGATACGAATATAACATTAGATTACAAGTACTAAGTGTTATGTGTCAAAACATTGATATCTTTTTTCTGTGATTGCGAGTCGAATGAATGAATTCACATCAGAATTGAAAATTATAAAAATAATTTTAAAAAAAACCAAATCGATCCGAATTCAAATAAGAAGGTTTTTATTCGTTTCAGTCTCTTATACATTTGTATCAGATATAGTGGATAAATTGATGGATAATCTACTCATAATGCTTCGAATATTTTTCAGAGTAATAAAATGACCATTGATTGAGTGTGTCTCATTCATATTAGTGAAGGATAATTTAAAGCTATACATGTGATATAAGCTGTGATCTCTTTTTCTTGTGTTTTAAATGAGCTTTACATAATTCACCAACAAACTTCTTTACAAAACAAGGATAAGAATTATTTAAAAAGTACTGGCCAATTAAAACAAGCAGAGTCCATCATGTATAATTGTGGTAAGTGATATTTTAGTATTTGTTTGCGTAGATACAGCTTTTCTGCAATGCTGGTCTTTGTATTTTCAGATCAAGTGGAAACACTTGGTTTGTTGCACGATGTTGAAACTGATTTGTTTCGTGCTCAAGAACCAGAAACATCAAATATGGAAATAGGTAATAAAAAAAAAACAGTTAAAATCTCTTTTATATAATTATATGTTGTTGATAATACTAATTATTTATTATTTGTCAATGTGCTTCAGAGCAATATCAACCAACATTACAGAATCAAGTGTCTGTACACTGTTCAGTTTCCATGCAACAATATCCTTCAGAAAGTTCCAATGAAAATGAACAACTTGAACCTCAATCAGTCAACGAAAATGATTCATCTAGAAGTGGTGAGCGGCACAAAAATTCTGATTTCTTTCAACTCATCTCGTTTCTCATGAATCGGTACCATCTATTCGTTTACATCTTTAGCACATGTGGAATATCAACATTTCAAAGATTCAATTCCTCATGCATCAACACCTATTGGAGCAACTCGTACGCATTTGATTACTTTTATAATCAGATTATAAACTTTAAATTTTTCTCTCTTTATTTTATTACACAGAAAGCATTGCTGATCCATCATTAAATTCTCTTGTATTATCGAATGTATCAAATTCTGAAAAAGTCAAATGGAGCATCGACCCAGTTGAAGCATTAAAGAATCCACATGTAATACTAGCACGTCTTTTATCAAAATGTAAACAAATTCTTTTGTCAACATCACCAATCATAACGAAAACGTGCTGGAATCGTCGTTTTGGTGGGGATGGAAATTTATGTTTATCAGCTATAAAGTTATTGATGACGGCAGATTTATTAGAAGAAGGCAATTTTGTAACTAGTACTACTAATACATATGTTAGTTGGATGAAGAAATTGCCATCTGTTACGAATAATATTTCGGATACATTAGAATTTCAACAAATGAAACTAAATATCTTTAATGTTACATGGCAACAATATGCATCGTCATTCAAGGAAGCAACATTTGGTCATAGTAACAGATTCTCATTTGTATCACCAGAAGCAGCTGAAATTCTTCGAAGTAAACCATATAGTGATATTGGCTTTATACTTAATGAGTCAGCTGTTCTAACAAAAAAAGGTAAATGCATATTAGCGGCGGCGCCAGGAATTTTGAACTGAGGGAGCTCAGCCCCAACCTATGAAAATTTCATATAATACAGTGCAAGTCTTTCAAATCTATTATACTATCTAAGAGTGCTTTTTAATCTGAATAAAGAATCAAAGCATGCGAATTCATGTTTAAAAATATCAGCTACTTTATATTTATTGATAATATCTTAATACACATATACAACTTAAAGCAATAAAATTCTACAATTTTTATGGTTGCTCGAAAATTTATCAATTACACGTTCATAATTTATCTCAAAATCCTGCTCAATAGCCATTACTGTTAAATCACTTAAACGTTCATTTGTCATTGAATTTCGAAGATAATTCTTAATTATTTTCATCTTTGAAAAAGATCTCTCACAAGTTACTTGTGAAATTGGCATAGTTATGGTATTGGTTATCATTTTTAACGTTTGTGGAAATGCATCTGACATTGAAACTAATTCATTATACAATTCAATAACATTATTGACTTTTTTCGATTCAAGCATGGGTTTAATAACAAGAAATTCATTTTTGAGTGCCCTCGAATCTCCACCAATATGAAAGCAAAATTCATCGATAGCATCAATATTAAGAAAATTGGTACTATTTGGATAAACGGTGGAGATACTTTTCATCAATGATAATGTTTTCAATGAAAACCTATCATTTAACTCTACCAACATACAATCAATAAGTGGAAAATATAATCTGTTAAGATAATCAGTTGATGTTTGTAAAGTCTCCCGTTGTCCAATTGTTGAATCGATGATAAATTCTTGAAATCTAATAGGTACTGCTGTTACACGATATGATCGATACTGTTGTACAAAATCAATTTCATTTGAACTGCAAAATTCTTTTGCTTTTTCATAAATCTGGTTAAATGATTGATCATTTCGAAGATCCTTTAACTGTTGAATAACCGATGTAATAAGACACTCACCACGTACATAATCCAATGAAGAGCCTTCAGAAAAATAAACCTAATAGTGTTTGCAGTTTAAGAAGAAAAAAACGATTCTACTTTTTAAATGATCACTTAAAACTTTTATTATACCCAATAATTTATGAAGAATAAATGACGTAACGATAAAAATTGATTTTTGAATATGCATTAACAGTCCGCCTGCATTTGTGGATCGTGTACCACTTCCGTCTTCACTTAGATCACGAAGTGCTTTAAGAATTGCAGGAAAATTATTTACAACAGCATTAATTGCTGTCCACCGCGAATCCCATCTGGTATTCGCTCACAGCTTGAGAGTCGAAGATTGTACTATGAAATAAAAAACTACAGTCGAACACTTCGACAGAATGCTAAAAGAATATTCACCTAGACCTAAATCAATTTGAGCCTTATTGAAATAAATGTTAGTTACAGCAGATTCAGTAAAAAACGAATAAATCTGTGAAACTATCGAGAAGTAGTCCGACACATAACATACAACTTTACATGTATCATTAATAACTAAGTTGAGTCGATGGGCTGCACAATGAATATATATGCCTTTAGGCATATATTTCTTCAGCAAGACATGAACACCAGCCGCACAACCGGACATAACTGATGCTCTTTAAATGTAAAACAAAACAGATTTTATTAGTTTTTAGTTGGCTGAACAAAAGACACAATTCACCCATCAAAACACAAGCAAATACATGATTCCAAAGGAATTTTCCAATGATTTAAAAACTCAACAATATTATTTGCTAATGTTGTAGCATCGAATTTTTCCAGTGGTATAAACCCCAGAAAATATTCTTTTACGACATAATTTTTATCAGTTGTACAATTATTTGAATTAGGAACAAATCGAATAACTATTGATAATTGTTGTGTACCACTAATGTCTCGACATTCATCGGCCATCAATGCGTACTTGTTGTTATTTAACTAAAAGTAGCAGAAAGTCATTTAATTATAATAGATAGTTAAACAAAACTAGCTTGTCTTACCATAGATGATATTTCTTCACGAATTTCATTACCCATAATATGAATTAATTCATTTTGAATATCGTGGCTCAAATAACTGGCATTACCAGTTGAATCTTCAAATATTGACTTAATTAAAGGATCATTTTCTGATGCTCAGCGGAGAATTTCCAAAAAATTACCCTGATTCGAACTTCTGTAAATAAAAAAAGTAAACTTTAGAAAACAAAGTTCCATAATATTCATGATAATTTTCTTATTTAGATCTCGAAATAGTAACTAATTATAGCAAGGGGGAAAAGGCGGATTTTGTACTGCCGGGATTTTCAGGATTTTTTCGGGATCCCCGAATTTTTTTGGGATTTCCTGGATTTTCACGGTACTTCTAGCATTATAATGTTTCTTATTATACTGCAACACCCTCATCTTAGTCTTACAGACTTAGATTACTCGAGGTTGTCACTATGCCAGAGAGTTAGAAATGTAAAATTAAATTATACGAAAAAAAAAATCCACCATCGTCAGAAGACTACCCATGTAAAAAAACATATGATAATGAACGGGTAGGAACGCGTTTACTAGAAATTATGACGCGTTTTATCGACCGGGAATGCGTTTTAAGAAAAAAAAAACACGTTCGAATGCGTTTCTGAAATAGCAGGACGCGTTCAAACGCGTTTCTGCTGGGGAACAATGCGTTTTGTGTTATGGTAAACGCGTCCGTAATGAACAAGTTTCGAGCCANCAATAAAATCGGAGCTCTCGGAGCACAACATCTGGCTGATGCATTACGACAGAACACGGTGATCCTCATTCTCTCTTCATCACTCTCATATACCCATCTGCATTTTTTCACACAGACACTCACCACACTAAATCTCTCTTGGAATCAAATCGGAGACAAAGGAGCACAACATCTGGCTGATGCATTACGACAGAACACGGTGACCCTCATTCTCCCTTCATCTCTCTCATATACCCATCTGCACTTTTTCACACAGACACTCACCACACTAGATCTGGGATACAATAAAATCGGAGCTCTCGGAGCACAACATCTGGCTGATGCATTACGACAGAACACGGTGATCCTCATTCTCTCTTCATCACTCTCATATACCCATCTGCATTTTTTCACACAGACACTCACCACACTAGATCTCTCTTCCGATTTTATTGGAGACGAAGGAGCACAACATCTGGCTGATGCATTACGACAGAACACGGTGACCCTCATTCTCTCTTCATCTCTCTCATATACCCATCTGCACTTTTTCACACAGACACTCACCACACTACATCTCTCTGGTAATGAAATCGGACACGTAGGAGCACAACATCTGGCTGATGCATTACGACAGAACACGGTGACCCTTATTCTCTCTTCATCTCTCTCATATACCCATCTGCACTTTTTCACACAGACACTCACCACACTAAATCTCTCTTGGAATCAAATCGGAGACAAAGGACCACAACATCTGGCTGATGCATTACGACAGAACACGGTGACCCTCATTCTCTCTTCATCTCTCTCATATACCCATCTGCACTTTTTCACACAGACACTCACCACACTACATCTGGGATACAATAAAATCGGAGCTCTCGGAGCACAACATCTGGCTGATGCATTACGACAGAACACGGTGACCCTCATTTTCTCTTCATCACTCTCATATACCCATCTGCACTTTTTCACACAGACTCTCACCACACTACATCTCTACAATAATCAAATCGGAGCTCTCGGAGCACAACATCTGGCTGATGCATTACGACAGAACACGGTGACCCTCATTCTCTCTTCATCTCTCTCATATACCCATCTGCACTTTTTCACACAGACACTTACCACATTCAATTTCTAAGACAATCAAATCGGAGGGAATCTTGAAGGTCATTTGGACGAATTGATAAAACGAAATAAACATCGAGCAAAATAGTGGACATCGATTTTGAAAGATGACTTTATGGACAACTAAAGTTTTGAATTGAAGTTGTAATTTATTTTTTTTTCAAGCTGTTTTTTATCTCAAAATGGGAAGAAAATGTGTTGATTGTCTTTACGTGGAAGATGGAAAACACTGGAGTTTGCCTTTTTTGTTGAGTCTTTTTGTGTAGATGACTGGAGTTGAAAAATGTAGGGTGGTTTTCGATTTGGTTTTCATTAGTTCATAAGAGTGAAACGTGGGGCGCGCTCTCATTTCAGGTAATTCTTCGACTAAGTCATGCTAGAAATAAAGAAGTATTTATCAATGAAGGGTGTGGGTGTGGGTGTGGGTGTGGGTGTGGGTGTGGGTGTGGGTGTGGGTGTGTGGGTGTGGGTGTGGGTGTGGGTAGGGATGGGGGTGTGTGGGTGTGGGTATTTAAGGTGAGTATACGTACACCCCACACACACCCATCCGCCCACGCACACGCACATCCACACCCACACCCACACCCTCACCCCATCGATAGATCCGGTGAGTTTGAAGCAATGCGTTAAACAAAAATATAATTTTATTCTCATTTTTATATTCGTTTTATATCCATAGATCTGGTGAGTTGGAAAAACTTCTTTGAATTAAAAAAACAGTTTCATTTTTCTTTGTAGATTCGTGTTATATCTCAGTACATGTGGGAAGTTTGTCCAAATTATTGTACGAAAATCAAATTTTATTTTCATCTGTAGACTCGTTTTCTCTCAAAAGTTCGGGTAAGTTCGAATCAATTTAGTAAATTAAAATATAATTTTATTTTTATTTTTAGATGATTATCGTAGGGAAACGTTTGGTGAGCTACAAAATTCGTTGATTAACTACTTCGGTTAAATTGTGTTTTACATGAAATGGGTGATTATTGGTTTGAATGGGTTTGGATGTGAAGAAAACGGGTAAGTTTAGATGATTTTTCTACGAAGAATTGGTTTGTTTCTTCATTTTTTAGGTGGAGAAGGTCGCAATGTTCAGCTTCGTGATAGTTTGGTAATGGTGCGATGAAGTGCGTCTGGATAACTAAAGTTTTTCTCTGAATACTATGTGTTGCCGACCTTTAATGACTGTTCTAGTTATTTCTGGCTACGGATAGCTTTCCGGCAGAGCCTTATTGAACGTCTGTGGCCGCTGTGAATGCTTGCTGCTGGTGCAGAGAAGTGATGAATTCCTGTCTAGTCTAGTTTGGTAGCGCTTTACCGGCATTCGGAAACCTTTTCCTTGGGCTTCCGAAGAGGTATTTGAGGTTTAGCTATAATGGGTACTATGGGTTTCCGAGACCTCGGAAACCCTTAAAGGGTTTCCTATAGTAACAAACTCGGAAACCCTCTAAGGGTTTTCGAGAATACCTATTCTTTTTAGAGTGTAGCCAGAGAGATTAGAAGGAGGATGCGAGTCACTGCTTGTTAAAAAACAATCATTATGTTTCAAGAAATCTTCATGTAAGTACTGGCTCATCAAATGAATTTTAACGATATTGTATGGATGATTGTGCTCTACAAGCCTATTTCAAACGACAAAATTTCGAAGTCTATAGGCAGTTGTGATGCAAAGCTATTATAAAAACTACTGACCTGCATGTTTTTCATTCAAGTTAACAGACTTTTGTGAACTCAGAACTGTAAAAATGTCTATACGTTTGTATCGAAATCGTTCAGTACAAAGAGACCTATTCAAGCTATGTAAAATAGTATTCTTATGATAATAATAAAAAAAAAAGGAAAAACTCTCTAGAAAATAGTAATTTTGGGACGAAGATAAAAGACGATAGTTAGTTAATTCATTGTGCATGTTTAAACTAGAAGTTTACTTTGTTTTTTTCAAGGAATTGTTGATAAATAGGTATTGAATTGAAAAACTATCTATGTATTAAATGATTTAACCGATGAATCATCAGTACAAGATTGCGATTTGTGCTAAGGATATACAACATATACCATCTTTTCTTAAAACTGGCTTTTTTATTTGGGAGGACGATGTAGTAAGTTAATCATAGTCTTCTTTGGAGCCTATAAGATAGTGCATGCCACCTTTTCCAGTACCATTAGCAATACAAGTATCAACATCACAAAACAAAGCGTCAGAATGATAGTTTACTACACAGTTTGTACCTTGTTCGGCAGCCCGTAGTTGAATATAGCAAAGACGTTCATCATTATCAGCAAATTTAACATCAAAGTCTTTTATATTATAGAATTCAAGATCTTTGAATTTCTCCTTAGTGGCGGCGCCAGAAATTTGAATCTGGGGGACTCAGCTCTCAAGCTTTGACTATTTCAAGTGATATAGTATAAATCATTCAAATTTAGTTTATTCGCTAAAAGTTCTACTGAATCGAAGTAAAGAGTAAAAACATGCGTACTCATTCGTAAAAGACAAGTTATATTTATTGATAATATCTTAATGTACATATACAACTTAAAGCAATAAAATTCTACAATTTTTATGATTTTTTGCGAATTTATCAACTACTCGTTCAAAATTTATATCAAAATCACGTTCAATAGCTAGTACTGTTAAATCACTTAAACGTTTATCAGTCATTGAATTTCGAAGATAATTTTTAATTATTTTCATCTTCGAGAAAGCTCTTTCACGTGTAACTTGTGAGATCGGCATAGTTACTGCATTTTTTATCATTTTCAAGGTTTGAGGAAATGCATCTGACATTGAAATCAATTCATTAAAAGTTGAATAATATTATTGACTTTTTTAGATTCAAGCATAGGTTTGATAACAAGAAATTCATTTTTTAATGAACTTTTATCTCCACCAATATGACAACAGAAATCATTGATTTCATCAATATTAAGAAAATTGGCACTTTCTGGATAAACGGTGGAGATGTTTTTCATCAATGATAATGTTTTGGATGAAAATCTATCATTCAATTCTAACAACATGCAATCAATCAGTGGAAAATAAAATCTATTGAGATAATCAGTTGGTGCGTGTAATGCTTCACGTTGTCCCACTGTTGAACTGATAAAGAAATCTTGAAATCTAATAGGTATCGTTGTTGCACGATATGATCGGTATGTGTGTGTAAAATCGATTTCATGTAAGCTGCAAAAATCCTTTGCTTTATCATATATCTGATAAAAACATTGATCATTTCGAAGATCTTTTAATTGTTGAATAACAGACTTAATGAGATGTTCACCACGTACATAATCTAATGACGGACCTTGAGAAAAATAAATGTATAAAAAATTACAGTTTTAGAAGAAAAAACTCTACTTTTTAATTGATCACTTAACACTTTTATGATTCCCAACAGTTTGTGAAGAATAAACGTACTAATAATAAAAACTGATTTTTTAGCATGTATTAGAATTCCTAATGCATTTGTCGATCGTGTACCACTCCCATCTTCACTTAGATCACGAAGTGCTCGAACAATTGCAGGAAAATTATTAACAATAGAATCAATGGCAATCCAACGAGTGATGATCCATAATTTAAGTGTTGAAGATTGTACTATTAAATAAAAATATACAGACAATGGCTTTGACACAATGTAGAAACATATTTACCTTGACCTAAATCAATTTGAGCTTGTTTGAAATAAATATTGGTCACGCCGAATTCGGTGAAAAAGGTATAAATTTGAGATACTATTGAGAAATAATCCGAAATGTAACATACAACTTTACATGTATCGCTTATGACGAGGTTCAGTCTGTGAGCTGCACAATGTACATAGAGTGAATTCGGCATATATTTCTTAAGATAAACATGAACTCCAGCAACACATCCAGACATCACTGACGTTCTACATATGTAGACGAAAATAATGTAAGATGTTTTAGATTAAATTGAATACAAGAAAACAACTTACCCATCGAAACATAAACAAATACAAGATTCTAAAGGAATTTTCCAATAATTTAGAAATTCAGCAATCTTATTTGCCAACGTTTCAACATCAAATTGTGCTAATGGTATAAATCCAAGAAAATATTCTTTTACAATATAAGCTTTATCAATTGTACATCTATTTGGATCAGGAACGAATCGAATAACTATAGATAGTTGTTGTGTACCACTAACATCTCGACATTCATCGGCCATCAAAGCATATTTGTTTTTATTTAATTAAAAGGAATAGAAACATAAAGTCGTTTAGTTTCAATAGATAAATGAACATAACTAGCTTATCGTACCATAAATGAAATTTCTTCACGAATTTCATTACTCATAATATTAATTAATTCGTTCTGAATATCATGACTTAAATATGTAGCGTTACCCGCCGAGTCTTCAAATGTAGATTTAATTGCAGGATCAGTTGTTGATGCCCAACGAAGAAATTACAAAAAAGTTACCCTGGTTTGAACTACTATAATTGAAAAAAAGAAATCTTCTAGAAAATAAAGTTTCAAAATATGGATGATAGTTTTTTTCTTTAGATCTCGAAAATAGCACGCTATTAGCTGTCATATATTTTGCATGCGCTGTTTAAGAAGCCTATTATTTTTCTAAAAGTTAGTTCAATGTGCGTACTTTTCATCCTCTTGGTGTCCTCTAAAACTTATTATTTGTCGTGTCAAAAACAGTAAAGTTGAACTAATTTTAACAAGACGATCACGATTTTTACGAATTAAAATTGCACGACTATTATCTAATTGTTTTAAAACATTTGAATCTATTGCTTGTTGTTGTTTATATATCAAATAATTTTTTGTTGCAATAATATGTGCTTGAGATTATGCATGTTTCCTTAAACCAGCACTTTTATTCAATGCCTTCTTCCAATTATTAAATCCTGTAGTTGCCAAAGCATCATCAGCATTTAATTGATTTGAAGAAAAATGACGACAATAATAACAATAACATGCATCATTCTCTACTGAATATTCCAACCATATTCTATCACGAAACCAGTTCGATTAAAATGAACGATTTTGTTGGTTCGTCGGATAACTTGATAGTATTTTTTGAACTGGAGCATCATTGCATGACATACTGATATCACTTGGAATCGGCTTTTTACAAGTTTTTTCATTTGAAGAAGATAATGTGAGAGGGGTTGTCGAATTATTAACAGCACAATTGGATAAAGCATTATCATCAGACAATCCATTAGAAGAAGAACGATCTTGAATTTCAGACGTTGATAAAGAAGATGAAATAGCTATACTTGGTTCAACTTGTTGTTCATTATTACGCAACTTTTTATTAGAAGAAAGAAAATAGTGTTCTAAAGTACTATGTTTTTCAGATTGCATTTCAAAACTTTGTGATTTGTGATTCAAGCAGGACCAGAAGAAAGCAAGTTTGCTTAGTTTAAGTGAACAAACAATCAAAAATCAGAGGGATATTTCTACAACGTGGTAAAAGGTTTGCCACAACTATAATATTAGAACAGACTACATGTTTCTATGAAAATATTTTAAAAAATCTGGGGGGGCTCAGCCTCCCCTCCCCCCCCCCCCCCCACGTGGCGCCGCCACTACTATTAATGTGCGCGTTCTTGTCAAACCTATCTACAAACATGAGCATCTATAATATACCCATGTAAAAAAAAACAGCCTAAAAATCTGATTTAAATTGATTTTTGGAGAAAAATAGGTAAAAATCGATTAAAATGGATCTTTTTCAAAAAATTCGAAATAACGATTACCAATCGAACTAATTTTAATCGACCAATGCTAGTGATCGATTCTAATCGATTATTTCTAGAAAATTTTATATAGTGTACTTCAAATTGCATAGATTTTTATAAAATCTGGAACGTTGGATTAAGAATTTAATCGATTTTAATTGATTATTAGAAACAGATAGGAGTGACCCTCTATCCTTACTATCCTTTATAATAAAGGATACAGAAAAATGAATTCTCTAATCTTAAGAAATAAAGGAATAAATAATACTTTTTACGACGACAAATAATATAATTAGAAAAGCACTGGAATCATGGAATAAGTTTGTAGAGAGATTAATGCGGTTTAAAAATTTAATTTGATTTAAAATACACTTCCTTAGATGAAATTTAAAAATAGCAGAGATGAAAGCGTTATTTCTGATCTTCTTGGGCAGTAAGAAGGAGGACTATCGTCTTCTAACATTCTAATGCGATCAAAAGCAGGATATTTCTATTCCGGAAATTTAGTTAGCCACATAGTTTCACCATCTAATTCTTGTTGCATTAAGTTGGTTGAAGATACAAATTTAACTTTTGAAACATGAGAATTGGGATCCGCTTTAAATATTGGCTGTGTGAGCGTAAGAATGGTGCATGGTGTCATGACTCTTTCTATGCATCTGAAAAGGATTGAGTTTATGTAGCTCATATGAGAGAACGTGGCTGTGCACTTGAAGACGTTCACTGTAAGAAACAAGTACGAACAAATTTTTGATATTCATTCACACAGTCATCATAGCCTTCAATTATTACACTTGAGTTTCAAAGAAAAAAAATTGATGCTGCAATTCCAGTAACAGTACAAAATGCGAGTTAGATCATTAAGGAAATATGAATCCAAGAATGGAATGAACTAAACTAAAGTGACACGATTTTGATAGTGCTTTTCATGAAATGTAGCATGTTTTGAATAAAAAGCATACACATGAATATGAGAAAATAAAACCAATGCTTTGAAAATCAATAATGTTCAATAATTTTTATAAGGAGATCAAAACATTAGAGACCTCTTATCAGAGAAAAATGCTGTATGCTCATAATTGTTATAACACGAATAGAGAATGACCTATTAAACCATCTCAACACACTCCCACAAGTTGCATCTTGAATACAAAGAAGAAACTATTCAAATAAGCTAGTATTTTTTTCTTGACTTCTGCTTCCTTGTTTCTCATATAAAGTGTGAGCACCTGTATTTTTTCAAAATCACCTACTTGATAACTTCATTAAAATCAATCTGAACTGTATGATGCAGTATTTGTTACAAATAACTTTAAGTGATTGTCTTGAAATCTGTATGAAAATCTAAATTTTATCTGTATTTGTCTTTTTCATTTTAACTAAAAATATAAAGTATCAGCGTAGCAGGAGTGAAACCGAGACTCACTCATAACCATTAATTAATGCTCCAAGAAAATTCTATGATTGCTTATTCTAGCAGCAAGCTAACAAATGATTTCCACAATTTAATTTCTAAAAATAAGGTCTCCATTGTTTTTATTACAAATGCTCTAATTAACGGCTTTGTTGTATGCAAATTTACTGTCTGTGGGTTAATTAAACGAAAATAAAATCAGTAACTTACTAGTAATCGTGATAAACTATATGTTAAAAGAAAAAACTTTGAAGAAATATATGAAGAAATAACAAATTTATTGTTGAACATATGGAAAAGTAAGCATGTTGGTGGGGCATATGATGCGATTGCGGTGCTTTCCTACTCTTGGGTTCGAATGCACACTTACACACTTCATTCTGCTCACATTCTTATTTATTATATATGCATTGAGTTTGTATGTCGTTGTTTTTTTATATAATTTACTGAACTTTTGTTATTAACGTGTGAAAAAATATTCAATTCAGACTGAAGGTAATTAAAGAAAACTAGCTTACGCAGTAGCTAAAAAAAATAGGACATCTGATTAAACATGTCTCTATACAATTTCTTGAAAATAATGCACAATGAAACTGAAGTAACCGAGTTCAAACGGTTATCATAGTATTTATTATTTGGCTTTATGTGAATAGAGAACAAATATTTCGTTGGTGCATGGTACATTTGCTTTTATTTAATTGCCATTTTCTCTTCTGAATTGCAATGAATCGCATATTAACTATCATTTTTGTTCTTTATATGAGAAGTTGTACCATGCAAGTATTGATAAAATCATCAAAATTGTTCATTATATTTTCAATAGGCGTGCTATGATTAAAATAATAAATCTATTTTCTCTTAAGCAATATACATTTTTTTTAATGTAAATTTCATAACACTCTAAAACTTCTTCTGCAAGTCGCTGAAAAGGGAACGTCTTATTCATATTTATTACGGGAATCGTATTGCAGTTAGTTTGTCTTCCCTTTTTATGTAGCTATTATAGAAAATTAAAATAATCATTGTTTTTGCATTGATTAAATATATTTAGGAAGATTGATATTTCGGTATGGTGGAAAAAGGCAGAAAGGAAAAATGTCGAACGATGAAATGTCGAAGGAAAAATATAGAAAAGAAAAAGACAGAAAAGAAAAAGACAGAAAAGAAAAAGGCAGAAGAGAGAAAAAGCGAAGAGAAATAGGGCGAAAAAGAAAATGTCGGAAGAAAAATATCGAATAGAAATAATCTCGAAAAGAAAAATGTCGAAGGAGAAATATTAAGAGAATAAGCAATGATAAACGTGAGCATTTTGACCAATAGTGAAAAAAAAATTATTGAATAACAAAAGTACAACAAGACGATCTTGCAGTGTGTCATTGAAATTGTAAATAAATTAACGACATGAATGAGTAATAAGTGAAAATAAACAGTCATTTTTTTCTTTTCGATGTGATATTTTTCGCGACAACATAAGACAATCCATTTAAAAGTTCATCAACAATAATATCATCATTTTGATAACGTAAATATAAAGTATCGATCCGTTGTTGTATAGCATTTGTTGCAGCTGTTTTTGATCGAGCTGCAAGACCACCTATCATTTGAATCAGCACATGGTTGAATCTGTTTTCTTCACCTTGTATACATCTAATAAAAGTCCATATGTTCGGATGATACTTTGCAATACGTAAATTCAAACGATTATGAAAACCTAAAAGTATACATGAATCATGAAAGCCATGAAGTATCATTTAATGTTGTATACCTTCTGCATTGCTGTTTGTTCTAATTCGAATTCCATAAACATTCCATTTATTAATATCTATCTTTTTAATCCAATAGTTTTCAAAATAATCAAATAGAGGTCCTAATAAACGAAGTTCTGATGAAGATGCTAAAAGAACAATTTCATAAAGATCCTCAAAACTTTTTAATACCACCGAAGATGGAAGTAATGCAAGAGCCATAAGCTTCCTACATATCATACGAATATTGTCATCATTAATATAAGCACTTGATAAACCCAATTGCTGTATATGACGATATACAGCTTGCGTAAAGTGAAAATAACAACCAATATGGTTACTATTCGGAAACTAAATGAAATAATAAATCAAAGAACCCGTGTAATTAAATTCAGATAAAATTACTTCTCTACTAATAGCTTCACCTAAACCTTGTTCAAAATCAGATATAATTGTAGATGGATCAAAAATTTGATTCATACCAATAGCTAAAGCTTTTAGTTCTTCAAATACAAATTTATAAGTAGACTTTTTTCTATCAGGTAATAGTCCAATCACACACATGAAAGCTACACAAAAAAGATTGGTGAACATTGCATATTTATCGAACGAATAAATCCTTACATTGTTCATATTTTATCGAATGTATAGTGAATACTTGATCGAAAACCTTTGGACAGGCACTAAAAGTGCCATCCATAAAGACAATGGAGTTTTCAAATAGCAATTTTAATTGCTCATTTGAAGCAAATAATAAAATACGTGTTTTTCTTTTTATCATCTTATCGACACAAAGAAATTCTTTATTTTTTAACGTTTTCGTATATATGTCTGGAATATCGAAAATTTGTGAATCAGGAATACGTGGTGTTTCAAGACGTCGTGCCTTGTTTAATGAACTACCTAAAGAAAATTCTCTAGACTAAATAAACATGATTTCTCACATACTCATTTCTCGTTGAGAAGGTAAAATAGCAATTGTTGCTGGTGTCAAAATCATTTTTGCTGATTCTTCTTCATAAATCTTTGGTATAGGAGTACTTTCATTAATAACACGTTCTTTCACGACTTGTTTGAAAATACGAATTATATTTTTTTCTGGTTCAATTACATGACAATGATCACCTTTAGTTTTTAAAGGAACATCATTTATATCCGTATGTACTGTTACATCACATTCTCGATGCTCGCATCGATAGTATTTTGTTGTGGTGGTTGTTTTATTCAACTTGAATACGTAATCGTCAATGACAAGCATTGGCTTTCCTTTTTGTGACAGAATAAAAGATATTGTGTTTGAAGAAGAAGTCATATTATCTACAGATACACCTAAAATGAAAATAACTATTGTATTGCTACCTCAGTCAGAAATAAAAAATAATAATACATATTATAATCGTTGTTTAATTAAATAACTCCACAAACTTCATTTTGTTTGTTAATAATAAGTTTTAATTTAGAAACAAATCAAAGAATCAGTAATGTAGAGATATCAATGAAAACAAAATTAGGAATAATGGAATCTAACTCGTTCTACTTTATGTGTATATAAAGACAGAGAGATCGTACTAATAGAGATAGACATCAGCACAAGCATGGACCAACCAAATGAAGAATGTTAAAAGATTAGATTGGAACCTAGCGACCTCTTAACGTCATAACTTTCAATGTTTTTCTTTTCGCGACTTTCTCTTTCTGTTTTCTTTCTACATTTTTCTTTTCGACATTTCGTCGTTTCCACTTTTTTTTTCGGTCTTTTTCTTTTCTATATTTCGACGTTTCTGCTTTTTTCTTTTCTCTCTTTTTCTTTTCGATATTTTTCCGTCGAAATATTTTTTCGACATTTTTCTTTTCGACATTTTTCTTTTCGATATTTTTCTTTTCGATATTTTTCTTTTCGGCCTTTTTCCATCCATTCGATATTTCTATTCAAAAATATATTTCTGACAAGCATAATGTTGATAGAACACTGCTAAGATTTTTTTCCTTTTTCTAAAACATTATAGTGTTAATCCAGCGACGCCATCCCTCCTGAATCAGCTCTTTCTGTTGCTGGCTATGTTCACCACAAACAGCGGTCTTCTTTATCACCAACTACATTCAGATATCTTATGTTTTTAAAATAACGAAACTTAGCTTTCATAAGCAAAAAAAAGAAAAATAGAATGCCTGCAATTTTTTATTGATAGTACACACTAGGCATGATCCAAACTGTTTGGGTTTTGGTTTTTATTAGAATCCTTTATTTATTTTCATATAAAATTAATGTATAGGATGAGAAGTTGAAGTTGAAAAGTTCTCTCACACTGATGTATATTCTTATGCACATTCAGGAACCATAACAGATACCTCAATATTATCGTGCTCTCTCTCTCTCTGCACATGTGTACACATATCTATGGAATTGAAGTTTATTGGTAGATTAATATAAAATCTAATTGAAATTTAAATACCTATCCTTCACTTTTCTTTCACATTCATTGAAGCATATTATGATTGATCTCTTTCATCATCAACATTTGCTAATAATCAATAGATATTCGTATAACTGAAACATTTTAGTAAATTTTTTTTCGTTGTTTAAGGAAACGGTTCGTTGTACTTCACATTTCAATCATGAAGAGATTGCGTTCGCAACTTTTGAATTTGAATTGCTGGCATTACGCTTTGTCAACACAAATACTTTAGTTTAAGATATTCTTTTATTTTGTTATTCCATAGAAAATCAACAGAAAGTATTACAAAAACAACTTGTCATGAATACATGTTGTGATCAAACTTGTTGCTTTAAGTATCTCCTGCTTTAGTTTCATATCTTATCTTTCAGAGAAACAGACATAGGTAAATTATCACGTGCCAAGCGTGAACGCTCCTTTCTACCGTAATAAGCAGAAACAGAAAAACATGATTCATTTTTGACGCTGGTTGCTGCTACTGATAAGTAACAACGAGCCGTCCGTGATAATACAGGTACGTCAATACCATGTTCTTTCCAAAACAATAACAGACTTGCAAATGGATGATCAATAAAGTTACCGCAGTAATCATATGACACCAGTGAACTCAGATTAATATTGACCAGAGATGGGCAGCTCTGACTCTGGAGCGGCCGCTCCATGGAGCTAGCTCCGCTCCGGGAGCGGAGCGTGAGCGGAGCGTTAATATAAATTTTCTTGTTGGAGCCGAGTCGGAGCGGAGCGACTGAGCGAATGATCAGAGCTAGAGCTGAGCTGGAGCGGGAAAATGTCAGACGAATACCACGAACTGTGGTTTTTCCTTTTCCATTTGCATCTTTCATAACGGAAATTGAATCTCATTAATTAATACAAAAGTTGGTCTGTGCAGGAACCAAAAAAAGTAAAGTTTTCTAATGAAATAATGATCATTTATTTTTGTTGGAGCGGAGCGACTGAGAGAATGCTTGGAGCTGGAGCTGAGCTGGAGCGAGGAAAGATCGGAGCTGCCCATCTCTAATATAGACTACCATATCATTTGTTTTATCTAACTCTATATGAAGTATTCAGATAATGTTCTCGAATTATTCAGTTCATTTCCTTTAGCGCAGGCCAGCATGCAAGTAATAGTGTAATCGATTTAATATAATAATGAACGAAGATCAAATCTGTGCTAAATTAGGTTTATGTCTGCTTCTAAGGATATTTAATTATGAGTTTAAAAACGCCCATCTATTTCAAGAGGGGAAAAGTGAGGTTTCACCGTACTTCACTTTTACATCACTCGAACTTCACTGTACTTCCAGCACAATTTTGAATTACGAGTGAAATACAATATAAATATAAACAACTCAATTATATACCTATTTTTTTATAAATATAACTAATGAATACAATTAATTTATGTTAACTCTCAATATGAACCACTTATAATTGATATTGATTTTGAATTAATCAAGAATTCCACCCCGCCCCCCCCCCCCCTCGCCCACAACTCACAATCTC